TTAACAGTAAGATGCACCCTGTACAATGTCTGAGGGCCACTTGAGGTAGAGGGTTGTGTTAGGAGGCAATTTGTATAGATAGGAGGGGAAGATAATGGTTAACTCTAGACTTCAACAGTTGATTGTAGTGATCGGGTGTGGGGGCATCCTTTTGCAAGTCAGTTTCACAGAGCAGTAGTTCATGCGAAGCTGTTTGAGTGGAACTTACTTCTCACCAATGGAATACAGTAGGAATGTGGGTAGTTTTCTACAATGTAAGAGCATGGCGGGTCCTTGCTGTGAAGGTTAGGCCTAGCGGAACCAGTTGCAAAAATAAATGAATTCAAGAACTATTGTGTTGGTCACAAATATCATAAGTGAACTTGATACCTGATTAATTTAATCAGTGGTTTGCATTGCTAAGTTGTTAACAACTCAAAATGATATTCCAGATTCTTGCTTATGGTGAAATCATGCTGAAACTTCCAGTTCTCATTCGATCACCAAAATTAAGCAGTGTCAAGCCCAGTCAGTACTTAAATGGAGGTTCACTTGATGTAGACATGCATGACCCTTGCTCAAGCTTTCTACCAACTGGTCAATGATTACCCCATGTTGCATTTAATTTAGATTCTCAATCTCATTGGTATGCACTGAAAGCTGGGAAAGGGCCTGCTGCATGCTCACACAAGGTAGCAAGATGAATGACAAACACCACATTGAGAAACTGAGAACACAAATCCTGTTTTTAAGGTTATAGTTACATTTTATTCGGGGATTTGCCTGGGTGGATAGGTAGGTGATGTGCAAACAACTTCTATGTTGAAATACCAGGTACTGTAAGCTTTGATGTGTGTGTGACATAATGGATAATGGTTCATATTGTTAATCCAGTTGGGTTTGTTATATTTACTTACGTGCAAATACCCTTGGGAAAGGTATGAATCCACCTCTTCTCGCTCCAGCTATGGGTTAATTAGTAAGTCTTTTATCACTAAATCATTATCTCAAGAAAAGAAATAATTCTTACAACCTAAAAATATTTTTTGGCTTTAAATAACTTGTAAAGGGTTGATAAACCATAGAAAATGAATCAATAAAATGCTAGGTTGATCTTGTGAATCCACTTTTCCCTTTGGCAACTCCTCACCCATCTAATCTACACATCTTGACATGTGGTTGGCAATATAAAAGGATAGGTTTGGAACCACATTATGGCCAAGTCAGTCTCCCACCAAGGGCAAACCACAATTGACTCTACGATCTCAAGCATTCCTGTTAAAAATCTTTCATCCACTTTTTTTATTTCCCTGTTTCCCTTCGGTCAAAGTGGATGCTACTTAGAGAACTTCAAAAAGAATGATCTGCTCAAAAAGAATAAAACAGAAACACTTGAGATTGAATTAAAATGACATTTTCCTGTCTTATGTGGGTGCCCATAGTATCATGTGGGGACACTAGGTATTGTAAGCAACCTCCTACAGTTAGAAATATTACAGCTTTACCCACAAAGTGTTGAATAAGTCATAAAAAAAAAAAGAAAGAAAGAATTAATCAAAACTCCTGATTCTTAGGGAATTAGGCATGTGAATACAATAAACTTCAGCTTAAAATTTTGTTACCAAACAATTAAATGCAATCCTGAATCTGTTTTAAATGCTTAAATGTAAACTTAAATGTTTTCTAAAAAAATGATTGTTTTCAAGCACTTAAACTCAATAAAAATGAATTTATGATCATATTTTATTTGCTAAATGTAAGAACTATTAGTGGATAGATATGATACAGGAGTTTTTTGGTTTTTTTTTTAATATTGTGGCCAGTTGCTAAACTTTTAATTTTGCATGTGTAAATACTGAGGCAAGTTAATCCAGGCTTAACGCTACAAAAAGGAGGGCTAAATTGATTGAATTATTACATTCACTTGTAATGCTGATATTGTAAACTATTGATAACCCATTTCTTGCTGAACACTCCAAAATTATTTTGTATTTTGTTGAAATGTGTTAAAAAGCAAAGACTGCTTCTGCATTTCTAATGATCTGTTTGACCTTGTGAAAGTTAAGACAAGTTCCAAACATTTACAGTCCTGCAGCACCTGAATGCCTGTGGCCACAATTGGTAAGCACTATTTCATTACACAGCATTAACATCTGTCACATAATCAGTTAGAGTTGCTGGAAATCTACTACTTTGTAAAAGTAGATTTCCAAAACCATATCTCATAACCAATTATATTAAGGAGTCTAAATTTGGTATTATTTGAAAGAGAAATCAATTTACTTTCATATGAAATCAACTTATAAGACTTGATTTTCAATAGTTTTGGTGATATATATTAATTGCACTAATATGATAAATTCAGATCTTTCAACATATTGATATCTCTGTTGTGTTCAGTGTTGTCACTGGCTTCAGCCCTCCAGAACTTAACATCACTTCATAGATGGTATCAACAAAAGACTTGTTTTATTAAAGGAGTGGAACAGATGTGACAGCAAGAGGAAGAGCTGCAAAAATACATATGCCACTTGTTGGCTTAGGTTAGACCACAAACAGAGATGCTGTCTGTTGAACCAGGGTGTGGGAAGCGTGCTTCAAAATTCCTGTGGCCATTTTGTGCTGTTTTTATCTTATATCCAAAACTTAGACAAAGGTAATCCATCACAGTCAGAATACCACACTCATCCTCTGCATTTTTGTAACATTTCTTAAGGGTGGATATTATTAAAAGAATGACAAGGACAATGCCATTTCACATTTAATCACTTGGGTAGGTTCAGAAAAATAAGATGGATTTCCTAATTTTGTTCTAGAAATTATTTGAAGTAATATTCTAAACATGGGGGTGGATTGATGCATCTATACCAGAATTTTGATCTGAAAAGTTCCCTGTATAAATTCATTTTTACCATTGAATCAGGTGCATTGACAAGAAAGAAGATTATTGAAATATTTGTATAAAATAAATTCTTTTGATTCTCATTAAACTATGGGCCTCAAGTGTTAATTTGTTTCTGTTTCTCTTCAGCAAATTCACAGTGGTTGAATATTTGACCCGCTGCCTAAAAAAGGGCAAAGGTGACGAGCAGGCTTTGGCTGCTCAGTGCATCAGCCATTTGTGTATTCAGTTGGGGGAGGATAGTGAGAACATCTTTGAAGACCTCCGTGAAACGTTTCTTTATATGCTCAACGATCAGTCGACACCTGTAAAAACACGTCAAAAGGTAAATGAAGATACTTTCACAAACTTTTTTCAGCATTACTTGAATAAACCAGTCCACTCATTAAAAAAAAAAAAAAAATTGGACAAGTATTTAGGGAATTGATTTTTGTCCATTAGTATTCCTTAGACCTTTGTCAGAATTGAAAATAGATTTAATTATTTATTGATTTAGAAGGGTTGGGGTTTCTGTTTATAATAATGATGTAGTGTAAAATCAATACTTAAGTTATCTGTACAGTTGTTCTGTATATGAATACAGTTTTTTTTTTTTTTTTTTTTTGCTGTTTTGTTTTTTTGCTTTGCTGTTTTTACAAAAAGATTTTATTTTAAATAAAGGAGAAATGAATATATACATTTTCTAATTAAACAAAAGTTACCTAAATTAATAAAAGTATATATCCTTTATTTTTCATTTAAGATAATTATCCCCCGCATATTTGTGCATGTACTTTGCAAAAACTTCCCACCAAAATAAAAAGGTTTTAAAAAAGTTAAATTTTTTTGTAATTCCAGAAAATTAAAAAAAAATGTAGATATCAATGACGATAGTTTCACTCTTTGTAAATAATAAACTAAGTCCAGATAACTGTAAAATGTCAGGGATTGATTTATGACTGTATTTCTGTTGTGTAATGTATTTTTCAATTTTGATATGTTGTGGCTTGAATGTCTAATGAATGCTAATCTACAAAAATGATTCCTCCCAAAGTTTTTTCCATATTTTTTTACAAGTGGACCAATCTATTTAACCATTATCACTCTGTGACTTTATATGGTGTACAAAATGTTTATCCTGCTACTGAAGGTGACTCATATCACTGAAGAACTGTTTGAATTTCATAGTTGTGCTGCCATATCCTGCTGTGGCAACAAAAAACAACTTTGAGTGAAATTAACAATAAGGAGACTGTAATGGAGAGGCCTTGAAAAAGACTGCAGTGGAAAGGGAAGTAATATTAATAATGCAGTGCTAAAGGCTAAATAGATTATTTAAATGGTGCAACCTCAATTTGATGCACACATGGCAATCATGACATTAAGGTCAAGTCTAAAACCTGGCTATTCAACTATTTAATGGCACTTATTTTGTTTGTGTAGCAATACAGATATTAAATGTTATTGAAAATGATATTAATAAGAATTTATATTTTTACTATCTATCTTGTAATTAAATTTTTTTTTTGCATTCTGAAAATAATTGTTACATTAGCATTTAGCTTATCAAATGCATATCCACTGCATGAAATGAATAAAGACCTGGTTTTATCTTTAAATATATAATTTGACTATTATAGATTATTAAAAAATGTTTGTTTACATAAATAGAATATATATTATTGATACAATTTAATTATTTTGATCAAGTGATATGAGAAACTGTTTTGTTAACCTTTCATCACTCTGACTTCATTTATTGGAGGTGATTGGTCTCTGAACAATAGTGTTTGAATTTCATGGTTGTGTTGTCTTATCCTGCTATGGCAACAGAAAACAACTTTGAGTGAAATTAACAATAAGGTTACTGCAATTGAGAGGCCTTGAAAAAGAATGCAGTGGAAAAGGAAGAAATATTGTGCAGAGTGCTAAAGGTTAAGGCAATAATGCCACTAAGACACAAGGCGTTACTGAGTGAAAGAATAAGAAAAAAACCTTATTAAGGAGCAAGAGCGATAAAAGAACAGGAATTAAGAAGACAGTAGATAACAACACTGTGTTCCTTGTGCCATATTTGTATATATTTATACAATTAATATTTTCATTACATATTAACAATGTGGGCTGTTTTTTTATTAATGTAAATTGGGGGACACACAGACAAATTGTCTTACTTGACTTAATAAAAGATTTATCAGTTTTTGTTAGGTTTTTTTTTTTTTTTTATCATTTCATCCCAATTAATCTTTATCACTCTGTGACTTCGTTTGGATTTAAAAAAACAAAAAACAAGGTAATTCTGCCACTGAAAGTGATTCTGATATCTGAACAACAATGTGTTTGAATTTCATAGTTGTGTTGTCATGTCCTGCTATGGCAACATAAAACATGTTTGAATGAAATTAACAATAAGATAACTGCAACTGAGAAGCCTTAAAGAAAAAAACAAAGAATGCAGTGTGAAGGGAAGAAATATTAATAATGTTGAGGGCTAAAAGTTATGCACTGCCTCTTCTTTTATTCAAACTTTGTTTTAGAGTGAGCAACTTATAACTGCAAAGAACATCTTGTCTGAATTATGATAGATTAAGATGTCTTGATAATTGTATGTGGTTTGCTTGGATTAATTTCCTTGTCTGTATTTTTTATCCTGTTTATTTTTATTAGTACTTTTCAGCCTGTCACAGCAGGTGTCTGTTGTGTTCTAGAATTTTTTGAAACCTTGTTTAAGGGAAGCTTGCACATTCATTCTCATGGAAATCAAAAGAAATGATTAATTAAACAGAGCGCATAGAATGATAGTCTAACATTTTCGCCCCAGCCCCTCAACCTCCGGCATCTTTCTCTCTGGGTTGAGGTGCCTACTCTGTCCTAACCGAACTTAAGGGAGTGGCCATAGGTCCCCTGCGCATCTGTAGATTATTCGACCGGTCCGCTGGTTTAATCCTTTTTCCTGCCCACGTTGTGATTTGTTTGATCCAGAAAGCAGAAGTGATGTCCGTCCATTCACGGTCTACTGATGTAGACATGGCTGGGGAGTCTGTGCTAAGAAATTTAGAATGCAGCAAAAAAAAAAAATTGATATCTGCAGAAAATTGGACAAACAACTATTCAGTGGTTGAATTGTTAATGTCTTTTATATAGCAGAAAAGAATAGTAGAGAAAAGAAACTGGTTACAGAACTCATCCCAACGCTTGCCCAGGGGCAATTCTCTCTTCTCTTTTCAAGAATTTTCTCCAGCCTTTTTCAGCATAACTATGCATTTATATAGATAAACCCAGCTGGATATAACTGACCCTCGGCCTTCCTACTTCGGACGCAATTATCACTGGATTCTGGCTGCTTCAACCAAAATCATGTGAATTCCAAAGTTCCTTCTAGCTTACTCAGCTCTATTTCAATTTTTAATTGATAAAAATTATTTCAACAATTTCCCCATCAGTAAACAAAATGCTCTGATTTAATTTCACTATTCATATCTACTCCAATTTCATTAAAAAAAAAAAAAAAAAAAAAAAGAATATGTATGTATCTATGTATGTATGTATGTATCTATGTATGTATGTATGTATCTATGTATGTATGTATGTATCCATGTATGTATGTATGCATCCATGTATGTATCTATGTATGTATCTATGTATGTATGTATGTATGCATCTATGTATGTATGTATGTATGTATGTATGTATCCATGTATGTATGTATCCATCCATCCATGCATGCATCCATCCATGTATGTATGTATCCATCCATCTATCCATGTATGTATCTATGCATCCATCCATCCATGTATGTATGTATCCATCCATCCTATATCTATCCATCCATCCATGTATGTATGCATCCATCCATATCATGTATGCATCCATTCATCCATGTATGCATCTATCCATGCATCCATGTATCCATCCATCCATGTATGTATGCATCCTATGTATGTATGTATGTATCTATGCATCCATCTATCCATGTATCTATCTATCTATGTATCTATGTATGTATCCATGTCTATGTATGTATCTATCTATGTATGTATCTATCTATGTATGTATCTATCCATCCATGCATGTATCCATCTATGTATGCATCTCATCTATGTATGTATCATCTCTATGTATATCATATATCCATGTATGTATCTATCATGTATGTATCCATCCATCTATGCATCTATCCATCCATGCATGCATCTATCCATGTATCCATCCATCCATGCATCCATCCATCCATGCATCCATCCATGCATGCATCCATCCATGTATGCATCCATCCATCCATCCATCCATCCATCCATCCATGCATGCATCCATCCATCCATGCATGCATCCATCCATCCATCATCCATGCATGCATGCATCCATCCATCCATCCATGCATGCATGCATCCATCCATCCATCCATCCATCCATGCATGCATCCATCCATCCATGTATGTATCTATCCATCCATCCATGTATGCATGCATCCATCCATCCATCCATCCATCCATGCATGTATGTATCCATCTATCTATGCATGTATGCATCTATCCATCCATGCATGTATGCATCCATCTATCCATCTATGTATGCATCCATCCATCCATCTATGCATGTATGCATCCATCTATCCATCCATCTATGTATGTATCCATCCATCCATGTATGTATGTATCTATCTATCTATGTATGTATGTATCTATCTATCTATGTATGTATGTATGCATCTATTCATCTATGCATGTATGTATCTATCTATCTATCTATGTATGTATGTATTCATCTATCCATATGTATGTATCCATCTATCTATCTATGTATGTATTCATCTATCCATCATGTATGTATGTATCTATCTATCTATGTATGTATGTATGCATCTATCTATCTATCTATGTATGTATGTATGTATGTATCTATCTATGTATGTATGTATGTATCTATGTATCTATCTATGTATGTATGTATCTATCTATCTATCTATCTATCTATCTATGTATGTATGTATGTATCTATCTATCTATCTATCTATCTATCTATGTATGTATGTATCTATCTATCTATCTATGTATGTATGTATGTATGTCTATCTATCTATCTATCTATGTCTGTCTGTCTGTCATTATTACCAGGGGGCAGTATTCCAATATAATTAAAGAAACTGTGGAGAGCTATAATCATTTAAGCCTCGAAGTGATAGGTTTTTGTACCAAACATAAGTGTTGTTTAGAATAGTCATGCCAATAGGGAATTTTTGATTCCTATAACAATAAAAATGGAGAAAATTATTTGATTAAAATAATCTGCCTGCCATACAAAACAAACCACAGTACCTGGGGAGGTGAAGGAATTGACAGAAATAATTTAATCAAGCTGGCTGTTGTATTTAATATGTAAAGGAAGTGACCTAATCTTAGAAATTGTAATTTCATTTTGGCTTTAAAGGTTTATAAACCTGTGTAACCTTATAAGAGTTTAAAAGTCTTAGTAATATTTTTACCTGTATTTGAAGAACTGAAACAGCTGTTAGTACTTTTGGTTACTGAACTGCAGTTTTTTATGTATCTGATGTTACAAAACCATCAACGATAAAATCAAATTGATTTTAACAATCTTTTGTCTTGTCTCATGAACTATTTACCTACAAATGGCGGCAGAGAGGAGACATTTAAAGTGAAAATAGTTTAAACAAGATAGAGAAAACGCCTGTCCACAAGGGTGAGGTGGACAATATGCATAGGCGGGATTACAATAGCTAAACATTTTGTTCAAAAACCAGCAATGTACCTGTGTCTTAGGACCAAGACACCTTCTTAATAATGAAGAAGGCTGATTCTGAATTGTTTTTTAGGGTGTTGGAATCTGTTTACATTAAGTCCTACCAGCCATCTCTCTGTAAGCAGGTGTGTTTGGTAGAATTAAATGTAATGAGATTGTATGTCTTGTATAACATTGATTGATCTTTGGTGTTCATTTTAATTCCTGTGCACATTTTTTGTATTCTATTGAGCTCTGATGAGAAAGGACCAATAAACCAGTTTAACTGTTTTTTCTCTCTGTGTTTTTGTGTGGCATTTTGATACTACCATTTTACAGTAAAGTTTTTTTTTTTTTTTTTTTTTTTTTTTTTTTTTTTTTTTTTTTTTTTTTTTCCTCTTGTTTTCCTCTTGTTTTAACATTTAACTTTGGCTTTTTTTTTTTTTTTTTTTTTTTTTCCTTTATAATACAAAAGATTTTTTTTCTTCTTTCTCCAGTGTGCCTCATACTCTGGCTATTTGTAGTTTTGTTGCCTGCCGAGACATTACGGTAAGATCTTTTAATGTAACTAATGCAGATTCTAATGCCCTATTGTGTGAATATGTCATTGTGCTGCACTCCTCCCAAATGCTAAAGTCACCAGGTTCTTAGCAAATCCACAATTTTTTTTCATCATTCTCTTGTAGTAGAAAAACTATTTCTGATTCAATGACAATAATAATTCTTGGCTAAACTTGAATCTGTTTACCGCCAGTATTTAAACATGGACAACATTGTTATATAACGTTATTCTGCAGGGAAAAGTGATACATAAGTGGAATATTTTCTATGGCATTCTTTTTCTTTCTTAGATATTTAAATTTAAAATTCTTTTAATTTAATTTTTCTGTTAAAATGTAAATTTTAAAAATTAATGGTATGCTATGAAGTCCAACAAGTGTGTGTGTGTGTGTGTGTGTGTACCAGAGGAAACAAAAAAAAAAAAAAAACTACACGCACACACACACACACACACACACACACAATGAAAGTTGTCATTCCTCTCTTTTCTTTTATCCTCAGTTTTTCGGGGACGGATTAGGCAGGAGAATTACCTAAATCTGTTTGGTAACTGAGGAACATTCAATTGCAGTGCCTCCATGTTTTTATTACTGCAGCTTTTATAGAATTGATAGTTGCAGATAATTATCACTGTAACAAGATTTTTTTTAACTTGAATAGTTGAGATTTCAAATTATTTCACTTATGGAAACTATTGGGTGTATTTTTCTCTTCCAAAAATAAATTTATTCAAAATTGTATCAGTTCATCATATAAGTAATGTTTAACACCTGAAGGGAAGAAATTAAACAATTTTACTAAAAGGTTTTATTTGTACAATTTCTTTTGGTATAATTATAA